GGCAGAAAGTCCATGGGCCCTTTCATGCGGAGGCGTATCATCTTACAAATGGGGACAGGGTGTCCACAAGTTTAACCTAACTATTTTACTTATACTTAACTTAGAAACTACTACCTATATACAACTCGCCACACGGGTCCTACTAGTAACCGGTGCGTTACAATAGGTAGTATGAAAAAGGCAATTTCCATTTGGTAAACAGACCGCGTATCATAAAAACTAATGCCTTTTTTGCAATAGTTTTAGACCTTACAAGATGTCCCATGTCCTCAAATCCTTCTATCATATCAAAATTCTTCGAATATTCTAGCTTCTCCATTATATCCATCTCGTCAAACGCAAGAACGCACTGCTTTTGTTCGAGATCCATGGTCTGTGTTTTGAGTTTAAGCTGCTGTACAAGCGCCAGGCAGAATAAACCCATTACGTTTAAATAGCTTATACGCAGACGGAGAACTATAATAAAAAGCCAACGCGAACTTTTTCTCAGCTTTGGTCCAAGGCATTATGTGCTCTGTTCATTATTGAGTTATTAGTGCTCGCCAAATGTTGTTTATATTTAAAAATACGTTTTTTGTGTTGCGAATTTTTTATCTGCAAACGTCTTAAATGCGATGTTTTATACTGCAATTTTAGAGACATCTTTTTAAACTTGTGCGATTCATTTAAGTGTGGCCTGGATCCGGTAGCTCTGAAATTTCTTCGAAATAACGCTTTACAGATTCAGAGATGATGATAAAGATGCCTCAGAGACTTCATCCATAGTAATAGGATCCGCTACATAACCATACCGATTTTCTGCGCGACGTTCGTGTGTAGTACGGTAGTCTATGGGGACTACATATCGTTACCCTAATTCGTAAACCTCGTAACTCCAAATTATTCAAAAATAAGGTTTTAACGCCATCTTTTAGTAAAATATGGAATGCATTTAATCCGAAAATCTCATAACTCCACGATAGTTAGAAATTGTATTATACAGCATATAAAATATCTCGTAACTCCAATGAGGTATTGGGTGTAAAGAAAACCTCGTAACTCCGATCAAGAAAATCTCGTAACTCCTATTGCGACGTTGAATGTGCAGAAGATCGCGTAACTCCAACGTTTGTTTTTAAATTCGTGTGCAGTTTTGACCGTTAAATTTTTTACTCTATCCTCTGTTTCGCTCTTAATAAAAAGTGTAGTGGTGAAATTAAGGTGAGTATTTAATTTAATGTTAAAATACCTATGTAAAAACCTATGTAAGAACCAATTTTTATATGAAAATCATAAATGAGTTCTTACGTTTTTGTAACCTCATTTCCAGCGGCGTATCTATTGTTATCGTTACAAAATGGTAAAATTTAGAAGCAGGTACGATTCATACGGAAATTGTTGAACAGATTTCACCGTTAAAACCGTCACTGTTTAAAACTGTAATGATGATACATTTGCATTTTACGATGATGATAGTTTTTGTTACATTTTTTTTCTTTTACCTTTCAGATGTCTAGGGCAAGTCGAATATTACAGATGGCCTTAGAACATGACGTTCTATTTGAGATTCCTACCTCTAGTTGTGCTAAGAATATAGAAGCCGTAAACGATAACTCTCAGTCTTTAGCATTAAATGAACATTATATTAACCTAGAAAATATGCAAACAGTAAGTTCTTGTATGCCAGAGACAGCTATATCCGAGACTGATGCTTCTAGTTATACTACTATTTTTGGAGAGGTTATAGATAATGTTAAGGAAGGAGAACAATTAATTACTTTTAAAATTACTGCAAATAATGCAAAAAATGTGTCTTACACTGACGAAATAAATGAAGATAATGTGTTACTCAGTGCAAATCAACATAAATTTATAGAAACACACGGTGCTGCGACAAATAGTAGCGAAAATACAAATTATGTTTCCACTTCTCTCGACAGTGAAGATCGCTTAGTACACGAATCGAATAATTCATCGAGTCATTCAATTACAAGCAGTTCTAAAAGGAAAAGAAGAAAACGACACCAAGTGAATCCAGGAACTTGGAGTAAAAACAGCAATCAATTGAAACGAGAGAAAGGAGAGGAGTACGAAGGCAGGAAGAAGATTAATGGAAAATGGAACTATGCAGTACCTAAACCAAAAAGGCAAATGAAAGGACGATGTAGCTGCACGATGTCGCAGAAAATTAGCAAAGACAATTCATTAAAATGTAATGAGATTTCAGAGGAAGACAGAAAACAGATATTTAACAATTTCTGGAAATTAACTCATGGCGAGAGGAAAGTTTACGTAAATATGCTTGTTACGCTAAAAACAACACAAAGAATGTGCGATAGAAAGAAGCCAGACAAATCAAGACGCCAATTTAGCTACATTTATTTTCTAAAGTTACGGGAAGAAAAAATACGCGTATGTAAGACGATGTTCCTTCACACCCTAGATGTAGGTGAATGGATGGTAGCTTCTTGGAAAAAAAGACATGAAACTGAAAATGAAATTGATGAATCTTTAGAAACGGATAAGGAAAGTAGCACTCCAAGATCTAAGCAAGTAATGGTCTTTAAGGAACGAAGAGAATGTGCAATAGATTTCTTTAACAGTTTGCCCAAAATGGAATCTCACTACTGCAGGGATCGAACAAAAAAATTATATTTGGAACCAATCTGGCGTTCGAAGATGCACTTATATAATGCGTATTCCAGCAGCTGGTGCGTAGAAAAAAATATACCTGCTGTATCGACAACAATCTTTGCACACATATTTGATGATATCAATCTAGGTTTGTTTACCCCAAAGAAGGACGAATGTAGCGTATGCGTTGCAAGAAATACGGGAAATTTAGATGAAAATGAATACATGCTGCACCAGACCAAGAAAACGGAAGCAAGAGATGAAAAGTCAAAAGATAAAGCTGATACAATTAATAAAGTCTATACAGTGGATTTGCAATCGGTTCTTTTATGTCCAAAATCCAACGTTTCGGCGCTCTATTATAAACAAAAATTGATAGTGCACAATTTTACAATCTACAACATTAGAACCAAAGAAGCACATTGTTTTTTATGGAATGAAAGTGAAGGCTCTGTAGGTGCCAATGAGTTTGCCTCCATTCTTACTCATTTTATAGAGCAAGAAACAATTAATCTCCAACAAAATGAAAAATTAATTTTCTATAGCGACGGATGCTGCAGCCAAAATCGAAACTCTACTCTTTCCAATGCCCTCCTGCACATTTCCATAACCAAAAGTGTAACCATTATTCAAAAATATTTGGAACGTGGGCACACGCAAATGGAAGCAGATTCTATGCATTCGTTAATAGAACAAACAATGAAAAATAGAAAAATCAATCTTCCGGCTGATTACGTAGATGTGTGCCTTAAAGCGAGAATGAATCCTGAACCTTTTAAGGTGATGTACTTGACACACACACATTCTTTAAAAACTTTGGGCATTTGAATTACTTTTCATCTATTAGGCCGGGGAAAAAGGTAGGAGACCCCACAGTTCAGGATATTAGGGGTTTAAAGTATAACCCTTCGGGAACCGTTGAATATAAACTAAGACATCCTGAAAACTGGAAAGATTTACCAATTAGAATCAATAAAGCAGCGAGTAATGTGAATATACCTGGATTGTACGACGAGCAAATCGGTATTTCTAAAGAAAAGTATAATCAGCTACAAGCTTTGAAAACATGTTTGGTTAAAGACTATCATTCTTTTTATGATAACTTGCCTCATTGAATGTTATAGATACAGTTGATTTTTTGTAAAATGTTTATATGTATGTATACTTTTTAAGAGTAGGTACTTATTTTTCGTTAACTAATTACTTTTTATATTATAAATGAAAAAATTTATTTTTGGTTTGTTCTCGAATAAAAGCCATTAACTTCGTAACTCCGTTTTGTTTCATAATTTAAAAAGAAAACCACGTAACTCCAGTAAATATTTCAGAAAATTGATTATTATGAAAATCATTCTGGGCATTTTTTTAATGGGATCTACTATAATAGATTTCTAGAAATATTTATACATACTAAAATAAACAGTTTTTATGGTCTCCTGAAAAGTTTTAGGAGATACGAGGTTTACGAATTAGGGTAACGATATGCGTTAAGCCTGGTTCGATGTATAGTGCTATTTGAGATATCTGAAGTATTAAAATGTTTTTGGCAAATAAATTTATTTTTAAGTACACACACAGAAAAAACAAAAGCTTTCATTGAAAGAAATTGGGCATCTAATCAAATGCACCAGGCTTTTGTATATGGCGAAATGAATATTTCTTTAGTATAATTCCACTATTTCATTGAAAAAGTCCACAAATTCAGACTTTACCTCAACACGGTATGCTATTATAGTAAGAGCTACATTTCTTAAGCCGGCTACACACGATCCGGCAGACCTGTCAGTTCGAACTGAACAGTCCGCCTGGAGTCCGGTCGCCTGAGCGTGTATATATTCCGGTCAACTTGTCAGTTAAGACTGTTCAGGCGGCCGGAGAAAGATCAAATATATGTTCGTTTATCCGTCCGGCCTGACGTACTCAAAGACAAGCCTGAACGTGTGTATGGCACGGCCGCCTGTTGAGACGTCAGGCTGTCAAGTGAAACAGTTCAGTAGTACAGAACCAGAGTACAGAAGTCGTTATCATGTCGCGAGCAAGAGAAAACACGTGTTTAGAAGAATTTATCGCGATTTATCGCAATGAGTCGTGTCTATGGCAAGTAAAATCGAAAGACTATCACGACCGTGGCAAGAAAGAAGCGGCGTATTTAAAATTAATAGAAAAATTGAAGGAAATTGATCCTTCTTGTACGAAGTCTACTGTTTTAAAAAAAATTAATAATTTGAGGAGTAGTTTTCGAAAAGAAGCAAAAAAAGTGAAGGATTCAATGAGGACGGGATCAGGGGCCGATGAAGTTTACCATCCCAAACTTTGGTATTATGATTCGTTGAACTTTGTGGAAGACCAAGAAGTCTCTCGAAACTCTCGAAGCAATATCTCGGATGACGAAGAAAGCGAAAATGAGGTAAGTGACAGAAACATTCAGTAGTTTTGTTTGTTTATTTATTGAATAAACACACATTTTTTTGTGTATATTTCTAGGGTGGTTTAAATTGGACGCTCTTTTATGGGAACACTCTTTATTTGAAGAGATAGGAACAAATGTACCACAGTGCCTGAGGGGCAAACAGGGGTGTTCCCATAAGAGAGCGACCAATTTGGACCACCCTATAAAATAGTATTATTAGTAGGTAAGTTTTTATTGGATGAATCTATCTTGCCAAGAAACTCTACCCTCATTCGTAAAATAACTCATAAAGGCCTCCCTAACTTCTTTTGCTGCATTCGTTGTATTTCCAAATGGTCTTCGTTGCAAGCTAGCCATATTAGAACCTTGTGAATTCAATCCAAAATGTGTCACACCTTCTTCCGTATCATCATAGTCTAAGCACTCTGGAGGAATATATGTTGTTGATGACTTAACTATCAAAAAGTTATGTAACATGCAGCATGCCATTACAACGGATTCAATATTTCGCGGTTCTAAATTAATGCAAGTGTGAAATATCCGAAATCTGGCAGCCAATATTCCGAATACATTTTCCACAATACGTCTAGCTCGTGATAAACGGTAGTTGTAAATTTTTTTCTCCCTAGAAGTCAAGGCTGCCTGTCGAAAAGGTTTCATTAGGTCTACCCTCAATGGAAATGCATCATCTCCTATGAATACATATGGTAGGCTTCTGTCGGTATTCCGGATAGTTTCTTCTCCAGGAATATTCAGGAGATTATTTTGTAGTTTTTCAAAAAATTTGGTATTTTGTAATACACCACCATCAGACACCCTGCCATTTGTTCCGAAATCGCACATTAAAATACGATAGTTTGCATCAACTAAGGCTAATAGCACCATGCTATTAAAACCTTTATAATTATAATAGTACGATCCGCTTCCAGATGGGGGGATGATGCTCACATGCTTGCCGTCAATGGCCCCAAGGCAATGGGGAAAGTTCCAGAGTTCCTGAAATCTCTGAGAAATGTTTCTCCAGTCTTGTTCTAGTCGTGGAAACTGAAAAAAAGACAATATTATGCATTATGCATGATAAAAATATGCATGAAGAATGTCTGGCGATAAATTGTGTATTTTTTTCATTTTTTTTTCATGCTTTCAATTTATGAAATACGATTAAGTAATACAGTTATAAAAACCATAGATATTTCCACACACAAAAAAAAAACTAACCAAACTGTTCAAAAAATCTTTTGTTACAGGATAAATCACAGGCCGAAACTTTAAACACAAATGCACACAGCTCTCAAATTGAACCTGAAACCCAAGATTCTACTGAAAAAACTTCAAGTGTGGCTTCAGGTTCGCAGTTTCGCCATAGACCGACACCAAAATCTCAAAAAGCAGATGACCAAACACAGTTAACAAAAGAAGTACTAGCAACCGTCAACAACCACTTCAAACGGCCACGCACAGCGGATGACCGGTTTGACATTTTTGGTAAAAACGTTGCTATGAAACTCAGAGATTTAACCAACGATCAGAGACGCCTTGCAGAGAAATTTATTAATGACGTACTTTTTGAAGCTGAGGGTGGAACATTAACACCACATCATAAACTGGCTTATCAGCCACCTTTGTCTAATCGTTATCATTCGTCCAGTACCTATTCTAGCCGGCCAAGCTTTCAACTCTCCGCAACACCAGCACCACCGCAGCAGTTGCTACTACTAAACTCCCCTTCGTCAAATGAATATTATTCGAATCATTCATCTAGTTCCAATCCTAGCCGCCCAAGTTCTCAATTATCCGCAATATCACCAACACCACCATCGCAGCAGTTGCTACTCCAGAACTCCGAAGCTTCAATTGAACACCACTCCCAGAATAACATGTTTTTTTCCCAGTCAGAAAGTGTTCAAGAAATGGAACCGTCGGCATCATCTCGCCAGTACCAGACTGCTAGTTCTCTTTTAGCTTCATTCACTTATGCTGATAACAACTGATAACTGAACTTGTTTTTGTATTTTCTATGGAAGAAATATAATGTTTTTGTTTATATATTTAATATTTACGAAATATAATGTTTTTGTTTATATGCTTAATGTTCAAGAAATTTATAATGTTTTTGTTTATATGTATGTTTAATATTAAAAAAAATTGTTCTTACCTTCATAAAATCCTTGTGTAGAACTTCCCATATTGCTTCACAAGTTTCAGGAATAATGTAACTCAGAGCTTGAGGTGATATAATAGTGGAAAACTTGAGGTCCTCATAGGTTTTTCCAGTAGCTAGAAACCTCAAAGTTGCCGTCAGCCTTTCGTGTGCTGGGATTGCTTCTCTCATTACAGTGTCTTTTCTTTTTATCAAAGGTGCTACCAATGATAAAAGTTGCAGATACGTATCTTCATCCATGCGTAGATAATTGTGCCAATCCTTGGGAGCTAACTTCAGGTCATTCAGCAAATTCACATGAGAAAAAACGCTCCTTTTTTTCAACCAATCTTTACACCATACCGTACGTTTTTTTGGATTTCTTTTTACCCAAAGCAACTACTAAGCCGAGGAGTGCTAACGCGTCGTCGTCAGTAGAGGCCATGATTGAGACTGATATTTCATATTCGCCTGAACGTGTGGAAGGTGGCCAGTCCATCAGGCGACCGGTCTTCAGGCGGACTGTTCAGTTCGAACTGACAGGCCTGCCGGATCGTGTGTAGCCGGCATTACAGTGAAGTCACAGTTTTTCGAAACTAGCAACGCAACAGCTTGAAGTAAAACATTCTTCTCTTGAGCCAAAAGCACTGCTCCTAAAAGACTGTTATCAAGGAAACGTGGTTACTGATAAGATCTTTATGTGTTTGTGTTAAAAACAAAGTTTTTTAATATAAGGAAATAGTGAACTTGATCTAACACTTTAGCTTTTAAACCAACATAAGCGTGTTTTCTTTGAAAGTATACAATTACTGCTTCTAAAAGAATACGGTTTTGGTTTAACAAAATATGTTTGATAAATAATAAACTAGTGAGTTTAATAGAACTTCGTCAATTTTTGACCCAAGTTAAGCGACGCACTTCTTTAAAAAACATAGGGTTTTGTTGCTAATCCTGTGGTGGTGTTGTCCCAAGATCATAATCGTTTGACATACTGCAGGGTCTATTGCCGGATCTACATAGGATGATACCTAATATAGACGACGCGCCATATAGAATTAGTTCAATGCATAAATTATTTTTAAGTATTATTAATTAGGGATGTTAAAATCTTATTTTTAATTTGCTGCATTGAAATTTAACAGTTATGGAGCGTCATCAAGCTAACCGCCGTAGAAATTTTTTTATTAATCAATACTCAAAGATTTTAAATTTAAGTTTATTAGATAGTAATAAATGATAAACACACATCAAAAATTTTAAAAATAAACAAACATTCTTAACAAAACAAATTCTTATTTTGAGTTATTATTGTATTGTGTTTGAGTTACTTACTGTGGAAATGTCTTCTTCAACTGTGGCAATGTCCGAAGCGGTGGCAATATCGGTTACTGTGGCAATGTTCGCCGTGCTTTCTTCAGCCAAGCTCTTTATTCCTTTTCTTAGCCTCACCTGGTCCCCAATTGTTTGAGCAATTTTCGACAGATCGTCCTCTGTTAACGCCAGTAGAATGTCCACCTCGTCAATTTTCTGTTCTAAAACATAGATAATAGTACGTTAGGTATTATTAATTTAGGATTGATATCGCAGCACGGAACAATGGCGGATGTAAATAAATCACAAAATTCTCTTAAAACAATACACAATTGAAAAAAAAAGTATGGACTTCGAATAATGCCCTTACTGTTTAATTAAACAAATGTTTATAAATTAAGACCACTTCAATTTATATTTGCCAAAACGCAGGTACAGGTACAGGTATCTACATCACGTCATTATGTGCGACTTATAAACAAAAAAACTTTATTCTTAAAGGAAGCAGATTTAAGCCAACATTGGCAAATACTTGGCGCGAAAACATGGGACTTAATCCAAGAGAACAGAATTTGGCTTAATCGCCCCATCTTTAAAGTAAGTGAGCCATCCGAAGCCGCTCATGATGATAATAGGCTTCCGTTGCGTGCTTTGCTTTCTTAGTTATCGGTTTCAGGGTGTAAAAAATACGTATCACATCTAATGAAACTATACTATTATAGCGTTCATTAAATTACAACTAAAACTTAAGCATGTTCGGAATGATTTTACAACCTTAAACTGATAAATTTTAGGCGTCCTTTCGTACAAGTAAAATACAAAATATATAAGTACTTATACATACCTTCAAAAATTGGCCACAAATGGGCCAATTTCCATTGCTTCAGCAATTCTTTTAAAGTCATTTTTCAAAGAAATGCTACACAGAACAGGAACACACACACACACACAATGATCCACACTGTTACAATTTAAAAATAAATTAAACGCCAAACGAGGGAACGCTGACGCGGTGTTATGCGACCGCACTTCTTGACTTCTATAAAATTTTCTGTCCTTCTATTTTCGATGCGAATCCATTCAGATATTTTGTTTCAAATGCACAGAGCTTGACCTAAATGCTAAACAAAAAGAGTGTTATTGGGTCAATTGAGGAGAAAACCACTCTTACTACAAGGAAATTCGCGAGTTTGGGAGTCGGCTAGGAATACTTCGTCCAAAGAAACGATACTTGGACTTATTCAACTGTTACTTGATAGAAGTCTATGGTGTATTATACCTTGCATCACGACCGCATGATTTTCAATTAAGACAATAAAAGTTCAAATGCATCGTGGTGTACGTTTAAGATTCAATATTTGCTCATATTAAGATATCTCTTCTTCAATTAAGTACTACGCCCTTCTTTCAAAGAAATGTGTTCCAAGAACCACTAGTCCTTTAGTTTAAAATACCGACTTTTTTCAGTGCATTTAGAAGTCGTTTCGGACTTAGTTTCGTTATTTGTTAAAGTTATTTGCGAATTTCGCTGTGGATCATCATTAAATGTAGTTATACCTAGGTTTATGCTTGCATTTAACCCTAAAATTGTGTCATTATTGTTTTTCTCCACGTAAAAGGGTAGTGACAATTCTAAATTTAAATGTTTTACATACAATGAGCATTTCCCTAGTATGGGTATTCTTTCACCCGTAAAGGTTGTTAGTATTTCACTTGCATTGGTAATTCTGTTACTATTATACCCTAGACGCAAACCACGATTTTTCACATCTACTTACTAGAACAATTTCCTGCTATCACCAGACTCACTTCTTTTAAAGAAACTTCAAAACACAACATCGTCCATCACCTTGAAACTACTGGACTTCCTTTAGTTTCAAAAGTAAGACCGCTTCCGCCTGATAGATACATAGCTGTAAAAAAGGAGAATTTGAGACAATGATGGAATTGGGAATATGTCGTCCATCGAATAGTTGGTGGGCAACTCCTCTTCACATAGTTAAAAAGAAAAACGGAGACTATCGACCATGCGGAGACTACAGAAGACTCAATGCCGTCACAACACCAGATCGCTATCCCATTCCCCGATTGAACGATTTCACGTACCTCCTCACCCCAAAACAGCCATAATAACGCCGTTTGGCCTGTTCGAATTCACTCGAATGACATTTGGATTAAGAAACGCAGGTCAAACATTCCAACGGTTCATGGATATGGTTTTTCGAGGACTTGATTACGCATTTGTATACATTGATGATATACTTATTGCGTCTAATAATTTCCAAGAACACGACCATCTAAAGGAAGTATTTCGTCGCCTGGATTTGTACGGAATTACACTCAATCTTTCAAAATGCGTCATGGGTAAAACAGAAATAGAATTCTTAGGATACAAGATTTCAAAACAAGGAATTAATCCATTGGAAGATCGAATTGAGGTTATAAGCAACTACCCCAAGCTCGTAAACGTTGAGCAATTACGAAGATTCATCGGCATGTTGAATTTCTACTGACAAAATCTTCCTAAAGCCTCAGAGCAGTAATCCAAGTTGACTCAATACTTTCACAACGCAAAAAAGAAAGATCGCACGAAAATCGTTTGGAATGAAGAAACCAACATGGCATTCGAATATTGTAAAAATAGTATCAAGAACGCTGTTACACACCCGTCGCAAACAGCACAACTCATTTTAATGACTGACGCATCTGAAACTTGCATCGGCGCATCTCTTCAGCAAATAAAAGAAGATGGCACACTACAACCATTAGGATTTTTTTCCAAGGCATTAACTGAAACCCAACGTCGGTACAGTACATACCACCGAGAACTGCTAGCCATCTACATGAGCATTAAATATTTTCGACGGTTAATAGAAGGAAGGCTACTAAAAATCTTAACAGATCACAAACCGCTGGTATACGCCTTCAGCAAACATACTAAATCGCCGATTTTCCCGTCACAGATAAATTTGATCACCTGCATAGGACCGCTACCACCGTCTGAAGGACAAAGTTACTGTGTAACAATGATAGATCGACCCACCAAATGGCCTGAAGTAATAGGGAATTAAAAATAAGATCGCAGCGCCGCGGTGGACAAATTGTAAAGCTCTGCAAGATATGTAAACTTTGCTAATCTTTGCTGTTTTGTATATATAAAGTGTGTATGTTTTGAATTTTTTGAAGTAATTATATACGAGTGGATCACGAAATAGCTTATTTGAAGTAAATTGATACAAGCGCAACTTCTGCCGTTCCGCGTAAGTAATGCATAAGTTCAATAATCTAACCTGACGTAAAATATTAACTTTCTAGGTTATGGAGAACAGATTCTCGATATGTGACTATCTACTGTATATAAAAGGGACAGATAATTCTAGAGTGGTGTATGAAGGGGAACATGTTCTTAATGCAGGACACATCATACTGTGTGGAGTAACAAACAAGGAGGAAAATCGTCTAACGTTGTATGCACTTTGTTTACAAACGAGTGCCTTACAAAGTGCACCACATAAAATCGAAGGGACTTTAGTGCATGATGACGAAAAGTGGGTTGTAGAAAAGTTTGCATGTTCTTGTAAAGCTGGGCAAAGTGGTCGATGCAAGCATATTTCAGCAGTTTTGCTACAATGTTCAAGGTTTTATTTAATCTATGCAGGTTAAACAGATGATATTTTGATATCCTTGTTGTAGGACTTCCCTCGATAAACTTGAAGCAGTTTCGCAAACTGATATTAAATGCACATGGTCTGCTCAGAAAGGCAAAACACAAGATAAATATAGAGCAATTCCTGTTAAAGAAATGCCGTGCATAAAGCAAAGTGATGGTATGAAATTGGACGAGGCAATTTTAATGGGCATACACGATAATTTGGTGTCTAAATTGCCAAATTCAGCATTGACATTACACAAGTGAGCAATTTAATGTTACAATGTATATTATGTTAATGAACTTTGTAGGGCAGGACGACGTTGCACAAACCTTTCCACCTTTAAGAATGAAGAAGTGTTTACTCCATATGATGAGCATGATGTAGTCATTTTAAATCACGCAACGCAATCAATTTTAATGATGGAATTGTATCATTTTCATGTAAATTTCATAGGTTCTTGTTGTAAAGAATTGTTCGATAAACACTTATTGAAAGATATTGACGAAATATTGCTTAAAACTAAACAGTCAAAAGAATTTTGGAATATTGAAAGAAAATTTAGGGTTACAGGTTCACGAATTTATGAACTATATACGTATAAATCAGATGATTGGCAAAAAAAAGCAAATCGTTATTTTAATCCAATAAGTTTCATGAATAAATTTACTAAGCATGGCATTGAGCAAGAACCAGTTGCCCGACAGATTTTTATGGATGCTACGGGCTTGAAAGTTGTAGAATGTGGATTGGTTGTTTCTCACTTTAATTCCTGGCTTGGTTATTCACCTGATGGAATAATTGTTGACCAAGACGGTAATCCAAAAGAATTAATCGAAATTAAATGCCCATTTGCAGGTATGTTGCAATTTATTATTAATCTAAAATAATTAAATGACTTGTTTTAGGTGCTACAGACCATAGGAAGTGTGGTACCTAAATTAAAATACTTGCAACTTGAAGACAATATTTATGAATTAAAAAAAAAACACAAATATTTTGCACAAGTGCAACTTGGGATGGCGATGCTAAATGTATTTAATTGCAAATTTATTATTTATTGTTCTTTTGATAAAAGCATGTTAATTCTAGATGTACCATATAATTACGATTTTTCAAAAACTTTATTGTTTAATGTTAAAGGAAAGTATTTTAAAAAAATGTTACATGTAATGTGTAATACATAAATTGTTATAAAAATATTATTTTAAAAATTTATCCTCTGCTAAAATTGGTGCTGACAAATTAGTAATTGCACAAATAATTATTATAATGTCATCAATGTAGTGTACAAGATTCCACTGAAGTTTCCCTCCTAGAATTTTAAAAATTTTGAGGCGTTGATTAGTGCGTTCAATGTGCACTCTGGCAGATGCTATTTCTTTAGTGAACATTGCTTCTCCTTCGTCAAATTGTGCTTTACCTCGAAGAAATGGTGGACGATACAGCTTAATCTCATACATTTTGCAAATGTCTTCAATTAAAAATCCCTTGTCAACCATAACTGCAGAACCTTTTTCTAATTTTTTGATTAATTCACTTCCTTGAAAAATAATTTTATCCGATGCTCTCCCTCCATATGCTTTACTAACAAAAGTTACTAAACCTGCTGGAGAAACTCCTGTCATAAATTTTACTGTAAGTGCACCTTTATAGTGTGAATAGAACCGTATTCGGCAACATAAACATTTTGGCGTCTGAATAAATATCTCAGTACAGTCTAAGACGATTTGAGTGTCTTGGAACTTTTCAAAACAGATTGGCATGTTTTGTGAATTTTCTATTTTTGACGGAAATACGATCACTGATTTTAAAATGGTGGAAAGTAACTTTATCATTTCTATAAAATAAATTCTGCACAGGACACTACTTATTCCATATAAAACTCCTAGGATAGTATAACTCAAATCACATTTTAGTTTAGTAAATGTTAATGACACTCGATCCTTGACACATAGTTTATGTATTCGAACATCTTTATATATGATTGCAATAGACGCACAAATTTCATCCAACAAAATAAAACTATTCAGTCCGGTTAAACTTGTTAAAGCTTTTTCAGTTTGAATAAAGTGGGACAATGTCAACTTTGATGGTGTATTGACTTGAATTTGAAAGTCTCTGAAAGTTTTTGGTTCACTGTTTTGACTTTCAGTTTGTATTAATGTTAATAATGCATCAGCCGCTTGTAGTTCCTCAGTGGTGGGCACTGTGTCGATATTTTCATGACAATTGTCTTCAGTTACAGGATCGGTTGCCGGTATATCCCTTAATTCTTTCATTTGGTTTCGTATTGATAATCTTACTCCACGATTCGATGGTGCTAATTCCTGTACTGAACCATGAACAGGGTTAGGTAAACACATCGTAGGAATAACATTTTTTTTCAAATTCCTCCTTTGACGAACTAAAATACAAAATAAAATCATAACAGTTTCACACTTTTTCATTTACTTACTTGTAAAGAAATCATTTTCAGTAAAATGTAATGAACAAACTTTCATGAATTCACTAATGTTTTTTCCTATTCGAAGTTTAGTTTTCCAAATATATCTGCGATTTACGATTTCCCAAACGCCCAATTTTGTCTGAATTCGTACTGTGTCGTTGACGTTAGGAAATTTGTGGAAACTTATATCAGGGGTTCGCCGCTTCAAAGAGTTACACCCGGGTACACAGCAAAATGTATTCGCCATACCCACTACACTTGTTAATTAATTACTTAAATTTCTCAAAATTTTAACACAAGCAGATTAAACACGATAACAAAGCAAAATAAACGAAATTAAATCACCCTACCATACAAACGGTCTATAACCATTTGTTTGTTTACATATCTTAGGTACGTTTGAGCTAATGACAGTAGAGGTCGCTTTAATTATCTTAAATACGCCTTATTCGAAAGGTCGGAGCCATCTAACGTTTACTTTAGGAACCATGGGGTATGACCATCAATTTTTGCGGGAAAATAGTTTACGTGTTATCGCAATGAGATGAGATGTTTTGGCAATTTGAAATTATTGACTTTGTATGCCATAAATGCTGTATTGTTTATATGTGGGAGGTTTGTGTGAATTCTACGATTGATTGTATGAATGTTAAACATTCGATTCTTTTTTATAGGATGGGTGTAACGTGTAACAGAAACTAGGTTAGAAACTGATATTTATAAAAATGGCAAGGTAAAGATTGCTAAATGTATAAGGATTACTATATCTGTTGAATGTTTTAGTGTATTAGAGGAACCAAATGCACCATGGACCAAAAATTTGACAAGGCTACATGAAATAAATTTTACTGAAGATGTAATCTTAACTTACAATCAAGATTCAAACTCCAAGAAAAGTGTGAACCTTGGATATAGGATGTTCAAAGCACATAAAACATCAAATGTTTTTATTGCAAATGATGGTAACAAGATATTTGTAAAAGCTAACGTTCAAGCTTCTTTCACGTTAAGCAAAAAATATCTGTGCAAAATACTAATATATGTGCATCTGAAAGTAGAAATTGTCAAAGCGTCATGTGGGTGTCCAGCTGGTCTTAGTGGTGCATGTAAACATATATATACTTTGTTATGGAGCGTTTTTGATATTGCGAAGACACACGCAAGTAACTTAACAGAAGTAGCGTGCACATCATTACCACGGAAGTGGGGTATAGGAGCGAAAAGTAGGACTCCTAGAAGTGCAACCAAATTTGCTGAATTGAATTTTATAAAGCACGATGTGAAAAGAAAGGCAAAGAACACTGAACGTTTGATATTACAGCGGAGAAAAAATTTGGCAGACATTCAACTAACTGTTCGGATTGACAAAAAATATATTGAAATATTAAAAAAAGGACTGGCAGATAATGGCATAGGAGAAATGTTTCAAGATGTTTTGCAGGAAAATCATTTAAAGCAAAATTCCCCTTTACCCTCACTTTTTCCTAAAGAAGCTGAATTATTGCCTAGTGACGATGTTAATCATGAAGCTATACAAGTACCAATATTAGATTTGTGGAAAAATGAAGTAGGTGAAATAATAGGAAGAAATAACTATAACGTGAAGTTGTTAGAATGCTGCCAAATAAACTTAAGTCAAGCCCAGGATCTTTTCAAAAACACAACTACTCAAAGCGTATCAGAAAGGTGGAAAAAAGAACGGAGTAAACGAATTACTGCTTCCAATTTTTATGAAATCATTAGACGGAAAGCAAGTGTTACAAACGCGTTTGTAAATAAAATTTTTAAATGTACAGAAATACGACAAACTGCAGATATGGCACTTGGGTTGGCAAACGAGGAGAGAGCACTAGAGAAATATAAGATATCGAAGAATCTTGTGGGCGAAGAAATTAGTAAAGTGTTTGATGTAGGATTAGTAGTTAATCCTGGGTGCCCATTTTTAGGAGCGACGCCTGACAAATTAGTTCAATTTACATCTGGCAATAATGTCCTTATAGAAATTAAAACTTTAACAAAAGCGATGAAACTTGAACTGTCTGTAACAGAAAGTATTAAACAAAATTATTGCAACTATCTTTATTTTAACGAAAATAATCACATTGCATTAAAACAGAACAGTAAGCAGCATTTTCAAGTTCAGGGTCAAATGGCTTTAAGTGGTATTTTCGAATGCGATTTAGTGGTTGATAGTGGAAGTAGTTTTTTTATTGAAAGAATCAGTTTTGATCCACATTTATGGAAAACATTAATGTTACCAAGTTTAACGAAATTTTATTTTTTACATTTTGATAAATCTTGTAATTTGTAATGTTCACACCTATTTTTATTATATTACTTATGTGTATTATTTTATTTAATTCTAGTTTGTAATGTTAAAGTATTGTGTAGTATCTATGTCTATATATTAAGCCTAACTGTAGATTACTTATTTCTATTTATGTTGCATACTTTTCTATTAAGTAAAGGTTCATTAATAAAGTTCTGCAAATGGCAACAAATTTTCCAAATTTGGTTTAAACTGCAATGTGCACTATTCGGAAACACAAATTTTAAAATTCTGAAGGTTTTAATTTCGCTTATTACTCTTTCTACATGAATTCGTAACGATGCAATTTCTTTTGTTTTCTCTACATCTGCTGGAGAAAATTGTTTCGAATCTGATGCAAGGAAAGGTGGTATATTTAATGCAACTCCACGTGCCTCCAATTCGTCACGAATGACATACCCTTTGTCGGCCATAACTGAATCGCCAGGTTCTAACAATTGTAAAATGCCACAACTGTTGAATATTTCCTTATCACTACTCCTCCCGGGATACAAATCTGAGATAAAGGATACAAAACCATTAGGGGTAATACCTAACAATCCTTTGGCCGTATTATGAGATTTATATTGTGAATAAGTGTAACTTTGAACAATAAAATCTGAGGGCATTTCTATAAATAATTCGGTACTATCGATCACCACCCTTGTGGTTGGATATTTATTTTTAAATGATATAGGCATATACTTACAAACTAAATCTTTACTTGGCCATATATTAATTTGGTTTAATGTCACACTGCACAAATTTATCCAAAAAATCACAATCTTACTTATTGCACTTTGGCTTATACAAAATCGGTAGGCCAGGTCTTGTTCTAATAAGCCTAACCGTAACCTACAGCAAAATACCAGTGCTTGTTCCTTATATGAGAGCGAAGAGGGTCTGCCTGGAATGTTACGTTTTGCTTTTCTGTATGGCAAATACATGAACTTTAACAAAATTTTAAATCTATTTACACTTTTGAAACCAGTATAAAACTTTAACATTTGTTCATTATTAAGTATGTTTGATAAATTAAAACTTATTGCTTGTCTACAGCTCTTCATTTGATGTTCTAATATTTGCAGTTTTAGCCTTACGTTAATATTCTTTTTTCTTTGCGTCTCTAACTCATTTTGGATATTGATGAGCTCTCTGTTTCTTTCCATACAGGTGCATTTTGCAAGCTGTTCTTTTAAAAGTAATATTTCTTCATTCATGGTTTTAATTAAAGCAGACACTTCTTCTCCACACATATAAGGAAGGCCATAGTTGTGGTCGTTACTTGCCGTCACACTGTCCGTGATAGATGGTAGCACTAAAAATAAACTTTTTAGTTTTTAGTTATCTATTTGGGTCTTAAAATGAAATAAAAGCCACAATGATTATTAATTTCTACAGTAAATAAATAAATGAATGCTACTAACTTGTTTTAAAAGGCATTTGTTTGTAAGTGTATCGTGGTGTTTGTTGAATTTGCAAAGTGGGCCCATGCGGCGACGCTTGTTGAATAGGCAACGTGGGTTCCTGCTGCATATTACCTTCAAATTCGCAGTGTGGAACAATCTCTTCATATTGTACATTTTGGATCGCTTCATATGCTACAACATACTTAAGTTAACCTTTAGCATTTCATAGGTTATTTCACCTACATGATGGTACTAATTGTAATCGTTCATATGTCTTGTGTTTAAAATAAATAGGATATTTGTCCTCATATCTCCTTTTTCCAGATTTATTAAAATGTAAACCGCAGATGCGATGGTATTGTGTGGGTTGCCACAAAGAATATTTACCACGATTTCCAACTCTATTAATTCGATTAATCCAAATCTGTTTTTCACTAGAGTCTTTTGGAAATGTATGGAATGATACATTCCGGTTTGCGATTGTATCAGATTGACAACCTGGTACACAACACCGTTGGCCCTTTTTTTTCACTTTCGACATTATATCAACTAAAGCACATGAAATATTTATTGCAAAGGGTATTATTTCTACGTAAACACAAAATAGAGGTTACGTTATTATGTTTACGTACAACATCGTGAAGTTAGTTAATTGCAAATGCATATAATTCATGGGAGTCGCTAAAACAGGAATCATAGAACTGGGGTCAGATTTCCCATAATGCATTTCTTCAATCGAATAAGGCCAATTCCCTATACCAGTTTCCGACATCACAGCACAAACAATCGCACGTGTTCTATACAGTGTTGCCAATTTGAGGGGAATTCCCCAAAATGAGGGGAATTGAAAGCATATGTGGGGAATTTTCGGGGAATTACATATTGTGGGGAATGTTGGGGAATTTGAGCATTTTGAAAATAAATACCGTAACGCGGCTCACAAGTCGTAAGTGGTCGAATGCGAAATGCGTTATGTTCTCGGATTCAGTTTACTTTATATTCTATGGTTTAATGACGCCACCTACCGACCCTTTTGCTATGTGAAATGCAATGGCAACATTGGCAACGCTGCTGCTTGACCGACTTACTGACGTGAAATTAGGCGGTCAGGACTGGGGGGAAAATATTAAATTCGCGAAAATCAACGAACGATAGATGGCGCTGTAAAAGTTTTGTTTTTAAAAATAGTGGTGAACAACAACGCATTTCTATGTACGATTACGTTGTGTAGTGGTGTAGAATTACACTTTTAGAGTGTATTAGTTTGAATTTGTTGTGTTAATTAGGTAAGTTGTAATGTAATTATAATAAAAATTACTTATATTTGTGTGAATGTTTTAGAGCGATGGTGGTTATTGAAATTTCCCTTATGGACATCTTAGAGTATGTGGGGGATCGTAAGCGCCCTTTAATAGAGGGAGAAGCCGTTTTCAAGGCAGGACACATTATTTTATGTGGTTTGGAGAGTGAAGAACCAAATGTTATCAGAAGTCTTTGCCTACAAACGTCTGCCTTAAAGCAGCTACCACACGAAATTTCAATTAGGTTAGATACCCCAACTTGGCAATGTAGATGCAGTTGTAAAGCTGGGCTGTCGGGATATTGCAAGCATGTCATAGCAACATTAATTTATGTAAACCGGTTAGTAGGTACTTATCTATTTGTTTATAGATAATGTCTTTTTAGTAACGAAAATTTAGATTTTATAAGTTGTACCGAGCTGCGACAAAAATGGGGGCAAGAAAAAAAAGCTGTCCAGGAAATGTATGCCACCAAACCTTTTTCTGAGTTCTGTCACCCAACAAATATAAAAAAGAGTGACATTGTGATAAGCAGCGAAGTCACAAAAATGAATTTTAACCTTTTGGTTGCAGGTGAGAACATTGTTTTACATTACAAAATTGACTAATGTTTTGTATAGCTGTAGGCAACTCCGCATTGTCCTCTTTTAAGCAAAGAAGTTTACAAAATATTACGGAACTGCCACCACAAAAGCGGAGTAGTGTGTGCGAAGTAGTAGCAGGGGGGTCAAATGAGTCCAGTTCACACCAAACTGACCAGATTACTAGTAGTTCAGTAAAGACCGAGACAAAGACTGAGAAGTTTCAATCCCTGTATGTATTTGATTATTTTATATTTTTTGTGATCAAATTGTTTCAGATGCATAGAAAATTTAATCAACTTCATGGATGCAAATGAATATACACAGAAATTTGAATTTATAATATTATTCATAATTTAAAAAAATGTTGTTTATCTCTACTTGAGACATTACACAAAACTAACCGAAAAATTGCAGCATGCACAAAACAAGGCTCAGAAGAGTGGAAAGAAGAACGGCAGTTACGGATTACTGATATATATTTGGGGATATTACAAAATAAATGTTTAAATGTGTAATTTAGGATCTACTTGTTACGCGATATATACTTACGGCAATCGAAACCCCAACTGGGAGCAGAAAGCATTAAGTTTTTTTTCCCCTAAAGGGTTTACGAATAAATTTGTCGCACATGGAATTGCTTGTGAAAAGAGAGCATTAAACACGTTTAAGAAAAATACAAACTTCAATGTTATTGAAGTTTCTTTAATGGTTTGCAAATATATGCCATGGCTCGCCTATTCTCCAGATGGTGTAATTATGGAGAACAATGTTCCAACTAGTCTCTTAGAAATAAAATGTCCGTACATAGGTAATACAAACTAATACCCATTTTTGTATAATACACGGTGATTTTACAATAATTTATATAATTACATTTTTAGGAAAAGAAAAAGGCACAGAACACTTCTTTGATTCATGTGACTATCTAACGGAGGTCAATGGTGAAGTGCTCTTGAAAAATCGCCATAAATATTATGCGCAAGTGCAGTTAGGAATGGCTTTATTAAATTTAAGAAAAACTTATTTTATTGTTTATTCTTCATTTACAGATACATATTTACAAATAGTTGTACCATATAATGAATCGTTTTCGACAGATTTAATTAATACTGTTACTAACAAATATTTTCAACACATGTTACATTTTTTTTGTTTGAATAAAGAAAAATAATATTTATTTTTATACATTTGATAATGAATCATACAAAGAAACCAATTACTGCATTTTGAAATTGCAAATCTGATTCAAATGAATTCGTAAAGCAACTAGAATTTGTCTTCCGCTAGTATAGGAGAAGACATATTAACAGTTGCTGCAATAACTGTCATAATGTCATCCATGTATGGAATCAAATACCAATCAATTTGATTATTTAAAACTGAGAAAAGTTTCAAGCGTTGGATAGCACGTTCTACATGTACCCTTGCTCTTGCGATATTTGCAGTTGTCAATGCTTCTACTTTAGACAATTGTGTATTTTTTCTTAAAAACGGAGGACGAATCAATGTAATCAGATTTTCTTCACAATCTTTTTCTATGAGTATGCCTTTATCGACCATTACTGCATCGTATGGATCTAATTTATTAACAACATTTTCATTACAGAAAATAGCCCTATCACTGCTACGACCACCATATGCTTTGCTAACATATGAAATAAGCCCTGATGGTGTAATGCCTATCAAAAATTTCATGGTATGGCAACCCTTATAGTGCGAATAGCTCAAAACTCTACACTTTAAACAATTTAATTTTTGTATTTTAATTTCTGTGGCATCCAACACTAAACGGGTAGCTTTAAAATCCTTAAAACACAAGGGTAAATTTTTACGTATTTCATCTTTAGTTGGCCAATAAATTGCTGGTTTAATACTTGCTGCCAAAAACGATAAATATTTATAAAATGCTCTTTTACAACTACTAATGTTCATTCCAAAAAGAACAGCTAAACAAACAAAAGATAAATTTGTTTTGAGCTTACACATCACTAGCACTACATTATTTCGCAAGTATTCACTGTTTTCTTGACAACAGTTTTGCAAGCACTTTACATATGCATTTAAATCCATTGAATTGATACCTGAAAATAGAAACAATTAGGTGCTAAATAAGTAATAATATTATGCTTACCAGTAAAGTGAAGTAATTGTTCATCATTATTCAAAAGTTGACTTAACTTAAATGGAGGAGGATCGACCTGTATACCTTTTGAAAGAGAAAATAATGATTCTTGAGTAACTGGGGTAACATCTTGGGTCTCATAGATCTGTGTAGAGGATTGAGGTACTTCTCGTTCCATATCACTTTCTAAAGTGAGGTTCGCATGAGATGAGGCTCCAAAATCCCGTGTTGAAACATCTGGTGATGAAACATTTTCACCATGTTCTGGTGCTTCCAATTGTGATAGCCTATAATTTATGCAAATAAACTATCAAAATCTTAATGTTAACAGTTTAAATGCCTTACATTGTCCTATTACTTCGATGTACTAGCTTTTTTACTCTATCATGTGGTCTAATTGGAATGTTTTGAGGTACAACACCCTTTTTCAATCGCTTTCTAACACTGATAGAAGTAACTAAAATAAAAAGTTATAAACACATACAATAATTGACAACCACATTGCACCTGGCATAAAGTCTTCTAATTTAAAGTGTTTACTACACACAAACATTTCCTTAGTTATTGGTTTTCCTATTCGCAGTATAATTTTCCAACGTTGACAATCTTTCCAATTATTTGGAAATCTGTGTAAAGAAACATCACTTGTGCGATAAGTTGAACACTTGGGCACACTACATATTCTTCGAGATTTTATACCCTCAGTTTTGTGCACGTTTTGCATATTTAATATTTACGAAACTACAATTATCCAGATAATATATCCACTCAATGTTATATGGAAACGTTTATGGACTATTTGCGTAATAAACTAATTCACTCTAAACTCATAAATTACCTAAACGAGCACGTCGTTTACAATACAACAATATGGGAGAATATATATTGTTCACCACTATCGTGTTATACAAAACATTCCACAGATGTCGCCCACTTCGTGATTTTTGCGAATAACCTCAAAGTGAAAGGTGTTCGAGTTCATCATGTTCTAGTAGTTCTTGTACAGTTGTACCTGTACGTTTGTTTTCAAGTTTACCCATATTTTGAAGGTTAGCTTACACTGGCTAAAACTATTTAATATAAAGGATTTATAGTAGTTGGGCAGGTAACCGTTAAGCTCAAGGCAAAGGTTTAAATATAACAATACAATGGATAAATGGTTGCTTCGCTTATCTAATGCTAACATGGACGTAAATGCTAATCATTCTGCAACTTCTACATCTTGTACAAGCACGAATTGCATTTTAATACCATCGCAGGAGCAGTAGAAGAGGTATATGCAGACGTAGAGGTAGTCGAGCAGGTGGGTAACATTTATTTACAATTTATAAGTACTTACTTCATTGCGCATTTGGTAGGATTCAACCGAAATTGTTAACCAGGAGCATGACCAGGAAGATGAAAGCCAAGATCGGGAATATGCAGATGCTGGTGTGGAGATTATAAATGAAAATTTAAAAGGCAACAGAAAATACAAACGAAAAGCTGTAAGTGTAACATAATATTATTATTTTGTACCTAGTTATGAAACATGTAAACTTTTCAGGGTGATGACAAGTCGAAACAGTTAAATGCAAAGAAGACGAGAAATGATCGCGTTTATAAATTTTGTAGTTCTTGGCTGTCAAATGAAAATTTTAAACATTGGTTGGAGAGAGATCAGAAAAAGTTAGTACATCTGGTAATGAATATGCATATTGCAAAGTTTGTGATATAAAAATTGTTGCTCACAAAAATAACATACGGAGGCACAGTACGTTTGGTAGACATAAGGAAAGTATTACACAGATATCAACAAATCGTAAAATTACTGATATGGCTAATCAGTCACTCAATAAAAATTCTCGCCGAGCAGAATTAAAATTATGTGGTTTATTGGCTTCAAATAATTTGCATTTATATTAATGGATACACTAAGTCCATTACTCAGTAACATTTTTCCGGATTCACAAATTGCGAAAAATATTTCACTCAAAAGATCAAAGGCTACAGCTACAGTTAAACAAGGGCTGGGTAATGTATTTAGCTTGGAACTTTTTGACGTGTTACGTAAACGAGGTTCCTTTTTCTCTCTCATAATGGATGAAACTACTGATATGGGAACTGTTAAGCAGTGTGCATTTACTGTAATTTATTGGTGCAATGAAAGCAACAATGTTAAAACACAGTTCTTTGACATGGTCGAAATGGGAGCAGGTACGGCTCAGGATCTTTATGATTGCCTAAAAAATGTAATTTTACAGAAAAGAATTCCATTATCCAATTTTGTAGGTTTTTCATCAGATACATGTAATGTGATGTTTGGCAAACATAACTCTGTTTATTCTCTTTTAAAGGCGGATATGCCCGATGTAGTGTGTATTAAATGTTCTTGCCACTTAATACACCTAGCTGCTTCTAAGGCATGTTTAAAATTGCCACGCTCTGTGGAAGACCTGCTGCGAAATTTGGGGTCACACTTCAGCAGAAGTTTTGGCCGACAAACAAAATTTAAAGAATTTCAAGTATTTTTTGCAACAGAAATTCATAAAATTTTATCGCCAGCAGCAACACGATGGCTGTCATTAGAATCCTGTGTAAACAGGGTATTAGAGCAGTATGACCCCTTAGTTGCATATTTGACAAGCTGTGTATTTGAAGACCCCTCACGAACGACAGAAGACATGCTAAACACTATGCGAAATAAATTTACCAAAGTATATTTGAAATTCATGTCTTACACTTTGAGATTATTAAATACTTTTAATACAATGTTCCAAACAGAGTCGCCACTGCTCCATAAAGTAAAACCTGAAACAGCTAAACTTTTAACAATTTTATGTTCCAACTACTTGGATACAAAGTAAGTAGGTAAAAGGCAATGATATTTTTAAAATTGACCACGAAGATAAAAATCATTTTGTTCCATTGGAAAAAATGTATCTGGGCATAGCAGCAACAGATACTCTATATAGCTTAAAAAATGATACAGACTTTTCCTCTGCAGAGCATGAAATATTTCTAAAAGTTGTCTCAGTTTTTATGTCGAATTAGTGAGTCAAATAAAAAAAAGAATTTGTTTTTGAAGATGATATATTTGACTTAATAAAAATCTTGGACCCCGTCACTGCTCAGTCTTTTGAAGTGAAAAGTTTGTATCCAATTGTGAAAAAGTTTCCTATTTTAAGGGAATTTGTAGACATTCAAGAATTGGACAATGAATGGCGTACACATGCATTTACGGATTTTACTGTACATGATATTCATCAGGGTACTGACCAGGCTCTACTGGAAAAAGTGTTTGCATTAAAAAATACGGCAAATATGCCAATATTTAATAGTTATTTACATAATAAGTCATGAAAGTGGTCGTTTACATGACGCGGAGGCTTATTGAAAAGTACGAGGACGCGCAGCGTCCGAGTATCTCTTTAATGCCTCCAAGTCAGGTGGACTCACTTTCATGACGTATTATGTATAAAATTTTACCTGAAACCGCAACATGCAGATAACTTTTCCAAATTAAATTATTCATATGTGGAAATTTTGATACCTAATCACGCATGCTTTAATTACTTTATTTAATTGTTTCCATAGAGATTTCAAAATTATTAAAACAGTCAGTGTCATTTTTAATGCAGTTTGCATTTTATGCTTTGTACTTTTCAACTATACAGCCTTTATAACTATAGACCATTCGCACCTTAGTATGCAGTATGGGGCTTATGGAGAAACAGTACATGCTTGCCAAACTTATTATAGGATCGATTACTGCACCGTAAAACGGTAGTTTAGACACTATTTATTACTTTTTAACCTAACCTCAGAAGTCAAAAAGGTAAATTAATAACAAGTTGTAATTGTTTGTCAAATGTGGCCGAGAACAGCTTGTATTTATTAAGTCCCCAAAAATTTACAAATGTACAGTATACATATTAGTCACTGGAATCGAATTGAAATTCATCGGAAGATGACTGCGACACTTGAATTATAAATTCTTCAACATCATCTTGAAGATAATCTGCTGCCCACATGCCATCTTCGATAGTTTTCACGTGATTGACATAATGTTGCCAATTTTGAACCGTAACTTGTGAATAACCCATTTTTATTAATTCTTCCATGTCCTTTATTTTAAATGTTTTGTTATTCATTTTGATATGATGTTTAACTTGAGCCCACACCATTTCAATGGGATTTAATTCACAATGGTATGGAGGTAAACGGAGAATCTCGTAACCTTTTTCTTGTGCAATAACATCAAGCTTATTTTTGTCGTAGTGATGCCGAACATGCGCAACAGAAGCCAGTAGGTCTCGTTTTAATGGATTTTCTTCAATCGGTACATTTTTCTCACGAAGCCAATCTATAATGTGTTCTTTTCTCCACGACATTGTTGGTATCTTCTCCAACTTTCTACTGTGGTACGAGGCATTGTCAATAACAATGACTGAATTCGGTGGCACATTTGGTAGAAGCTGTTCAAAAAACCACTTTTCATAAGTGTCTGCATCCATTTCGTTGTGTGCATCAGCAGTGTTCTTTTTGCAGAGAAAAGTCAGTTCCGCGCCCGGAATAAAACCTCACCACCAGCATGTACTAACGCAAAGCGAGGCCCTAGACCAGTGGGTGATTTTAAACCTGTACTGAGTCCTTTGATGAATGCCTGACGATTGCTTTCAACGGTGGTGTCATGCCACGCCCTGCTCACCGAATGACAAATGTTAACCCATGACTCATCCGTATACACAATATTTTTACCTAAAATATAAATATTATGTAATTTGCAATTAAATATAATAAAAAGATTAAGCACCTTCTTCTCTCAACTTCCTGATGCGACGTAGGTATTTATGTCTCCATCGTATAATATCATCCCGTTCAATAAGGATACTCTTGCGGCCAACCTTCTTAAATTCAAAACCCATATCTTTCAAGAGATTGAATAATGTGGTGCGTTTAAAGTTGGGTAGATCGTTATCGTCATTTACGGAAGCTAAGATGCTGTTCATAGTTGGTGGAATATTTGTAATGAAGAAGTTATGCACTTTACTTCAAATAACTGATTGCACATTTTCATCATACACATGAAGACGATCATTGCTTTGTTTCCCTTTTCTTTGCTTGCGTTTTTTCGGGCTTGATACACCTTCGTTTCCGTCTTCCTTTTTAATGGCATAGATGCTCCGTTCAGAACAACATAAAGCTTTACTTGCTTCTTTCACAGCTGCAGTAACGTTCATCGTTCCCGAGAAATAGTTCAGCACGTTGATAATGAGGTGTTTCTCCTTCCGGCTAAAACACTCTCCTTTATGGCGTTTCACGTTAGCAGATCCTGCTTCAGCTTCGGCTTCCATTTAATGGGATATTCTAAAAAGATGAAATCAAATAACGGTTCTACAAGAACACTCAAAGTTACCTTGTATATAAAGTACGAGATGGAGGCGTTCTTAAAAGAACGATTTTTAAAGCAATGAGACAATAAAATGTGTTAAATACGAAAGACAAAAACGAACCACACACGTAATGACAATACAAGAAGATTTGACGTTATATTTTGTTTTAAACCCAGAACAAAAAACTTAGAAGGGAAACGTAAACGGGAACAACTGAGTACAAATATAATTAGTTTGGAGAACATTCAATAGATGGCGCATATTTAGCGTGCTTGTTAAAGTTACTAAATCTAGTGACTTTAGTACGTGTCGCCATTATGACAGTTGAATTTTGAATTTTGATTGACAGCTTATTGTGCTTTAAGTATAATTACTATTCATTATTACAATGAATTATGCATATACAAATCGAAAACGTAAATGTTGTGTGACAAATTGTGAAGACGTTTCCCAAAAATGGAGCCCGAAGTTTTTATAGAATTGGTTTAGAACATAATGTGGAAGAAATTTACACAAAAGTTTTTGGTTTGTGAACGTCATTTTTCTGGTTGCGCTTTAGAACCTGGAACACGAAGAGGTTTAAAGCGTGTGGCAGTTCGCACATTATCTTTAGCAGGTAACACTAATTGAATTGTAATAAATTGCTACATATTTTGTTTTTAGAACGATCTTGAGAGCATCATAAAGTGTAGAGTTCCATGAAGTTGATCTTGTATCTTGTATATCCATATTAAATTAAATATAACTCCTTGATTGGATTAATTGGAGTTGTTACTTATAAAGTGGTCTGTACTCTTTGAAGCCCCTGACTGTTGAGGTGCATCGGCATTAAACTGAATTTATCTGGATCCCTAACAAACAAAATTGGACTTCACTGGCTGGATTCATTTACCTTTTAGGTTTCAGCTAGTCAAATCCAATGTTATTGTTACAGATCCGGAGAAATGCAGTATAATGCGGACGTAGCTTACATTTTAATATTTAAATTTGGCGCCA